GTTAAGCTTAACAGCCTAAGTTTTATTTTAATACCAATAAGCTTGTCTTCTTTGATGTTTAACATCCTAAGTATGCAGATGAAAATTAGTGAAAAAAGAGGGCTGCAAGGAAAGCCAACATTTTGGCCCTAGCCTTCTAAGGTCAATTAAGACTCAGGACATATGAGAACTTGTACTGTAACGTCATATAACTCAGTAGCGTCCCAAATTTTCTGATCAAGGAGATTACGGGGCCAAAGAGGAGAGTGATCAATGATGTAGAGTGTGCCTAAGGAGAGTCATGTGAACAGAAAACATTCTCTCAGGCTTTCACAGAGAGCACACTGGCCAAGCAATGGCCATGACTCATCCTCATGGGTGACACTGACAAAGGTTCTACAATCTGAAGTATAGGATCTCAGGATAAATCCTGAGGGGATTTCACTGACCTTATCAGACCCAAAAGCTATCAGACCCTCTTGTTGCATAGGTCCTGCTTTACCTTGGTCTTAACCATCCAGCAGAAAAGTATAAAAACGAAATATAAGAAGTAAAGCCATGCTGTTTTGTTGAACTGCAGGGGACTCAGGTCAACAATTTCTGACATTGCCAGTGAAGCAGAGGACCCAATACTATTATGGACTACTGAACTTCTTAGGATATTTTGCTGAGTTAACACACCTATAATATTCAAATAATGGAACTTTAAAAAAAGGGGGGATACAGATGAATGTCCATTTTGTATCTGGATATTCAAAATGGTTAGGATAGATATATAGTTACACTCTCTTAATGAATAGAGGGATTTGTTCTAATAGTGTTAGTAAATAGGATATCATGTCCACATCTAGTATAGCAATTAACCACTAGGAAAGAAAGAAAGAAAGAAAGAAAGAAAGAAAGAAAGAAAGAAAGAAAGAAAGAAAGAATAGAATATTAAAACAAAGGTGACTAAAGAATTCCGCAATATCCCACATTTCCTCCTTTCCATCATCTCTAGAGACATGCAAGCAAAAGTACACTTAGCACAATAAAAACTAAAAGTGGAAAAGGACTTCAGCGAGTAAAGCAAAGCATGGTTATTCATTTGTAAAAGATACAGGAACTAATTGTTCAAAGCACCACGCATCCTTCCCTATCTCCTTGACTGAAGGACTAAAGTGTAATTGTGTGTCTAAGAGTCCAGGGAAGTTGTGAGGACAGAGCTCCCCCTCTCCTGTGTTTCCTGACTGTTTACTAAGACTCAAAAGAAATGTAAAAGGGAAAAAAATTTAAAGCTTCTATGTTCCAGGTAAACTGATGTCTTTAACAATGAAGTGAAGGAAGGAGAACTCACATGATGGTAGTCTTGCCCGCGCCATTGGTCCCTAGGAAGGCCGTGATCTGTCCCCTGGGGAAGGTGAGGGTGAAGTCCTGCACTGCCACCTGGTGGCCCTCATACTTCTTGGTGACAGATACCAGGGCGGCTCCCAGGGTGCCTCTTCTGTCAGGCTCTCCTCCTCTGTCTTGCTGCGATGACCCTGTGCGGAGGATGAGAATTTGCCCTGATGGATTTCTTTGCACCTGCGCTCCAGCTCTGGGACACACGCCACACGGTTCAAACATGCTTCGTTGTTCAAGGCTTGAAGGAACTTGTACAATAACCAAAATATAAAATCACAGATAATGAAGCTTCACATCCTTGCAAAGTGAGAACCAGTTTGAGAGAGAGAGAGAGAGAGACAGAGAGAGAGAGAGAGAGAGAGAGAGAGAGAACCCACAGGTGTTTGTGGAGATATGGAGAACAAACAATATGCAGGTTTGTTACACCCAAAATGTCCATAGAAAGTGCTCTGGCGGGAGGAGTTTGGAGGCGCTGGTTGATATGAGGCAAACTTTCTGAAAGATTCATCTTTTACTTTTTTAATTAGGAAAATAAGTGGCTTTGCAAGATTGCACCAGTGTGCAGCTGCCACCGTGGGAGCTCGCTAGCTCATGGTGGTGTGTCTGTCTTCACACTTAGATTCCCTGCGTGACCTTTTGTAATGGTGTGCTTGCGCTGGCCCCCAGAGCCAGCCCTGGGTGTGAAACACACTCCTTCCCTGTCTCCTAGAAGTATCCCCATTTGTACGCACAAGAGAAGCCCTCTGTTTTGAAGCTGTCAGGTGGAACAGCACTACCCATTTCCCAATGCACTCCTCCTGGTAGCTGCTGACCTTTGCTTTTGTTCTCATACAATTCATTTGGGACTAATCCTTCCATTATAAAGAATTCTCAGATAGGCAAAAGTGCATAAAATAGAGAAGAACACTCTAAATAACACATAACATGAGCCCGTTGGAGCTCCTGAGGTGGTACAGACTAAACAGAGCCAGGGACCCTGGCTTCCAGTGTAACCCTGCAACTGTCTTTGAGACAAAGAAAACTTCCAAGTGACCTCTCCGTATCAGCACTGAGTTACAAAGGCTCATAAAGGAACAGAAAACTG